TAAACATTCCTGGTCCCCCTAGTGCCTATCTGTGAGCACAAAGACCTCCATGCCCTCTACAGGGAGACATCCTGTCACTGGCATAGAAATGCCCTTTTCTGTTCCAGAGACTAGGCTCAGAATTAGGGAAGCTGATGGCATCACCACAGCCTGAAAATGGAAGCCTGCAAAGGGGACACTGGATAAAGTCCTGCTGTTTTCAGTCCCAGCCTGAGCCTGGAGGGACAATGGCCTGGGTAGAAGAGTATGACCCAGCCCTGTTCTTCTCACTGGGAGCCTTAGGGACTAGACCAAGCTAGGCCTGAAGGCAGCTCCTTCCCACATGGTTCAGAGTCAGTTGTTAACTTCTCAGACATACCCCTAATAATGCTGTATGGCTTCTAGGGATTCCTCAGTACTGACAAGCCACATCAAGACAGACTCATGCTGTTTCTCACCTCTTGAAGGACATTTAGATTGTTCCCACCCTGTAGCTACTCTAAACACTGACTCAAGGACTCTGCCTCCTCTACCAGTGCCCAGGTGTGACAGCTGCTTCTTGGAAAACAGGCCACCCCCCATTCTTCAGCTCTGCCCCTTCTAATGGCTTGTCATGCTTCTTCTTCTTTTTTTATGTTATGTGCATTGGTGTTTTGCCCGCATATGTCTGTGTGAGGGTGGTGGAATCACTGGGAACTGGAGTTATAGTCTTGAGCTGCCATGTGGGTGCTGGGAATTGAACCTGGGTCCTCTGGAAGAGCAGCCAGTGCTTGTTTTCTGTGGCTGTAACAAAGTCCCTAGGCTAGTCAGCTTGTGAAAAAGGTTTGTTTCTGCAAAGAATTGGAGATGTTCTAATCCATGACTAGGAAGGTGTTAGACCTCTGGTAGAGTGCCGGATGGCAAGGGAGGGCACACACTGCTTATCACATGCCAGTGAACAAAATGGGAAGGGACTGGGTCCCACAATCCCCTTGGAGGGTATGCCCCCTGTGACCTAAAGACCCTTCTCCCCACCAGGCCCAAGCTCTGAGAATGACACAGGGGCTCTGCTATATTCATTCAGTCACCTGGGCCTCTCTCATGCATTTAGCAAGCAGTCATGGGTTTCCCTGTATCAGGGCTCAGGCAGGATGGTGTCAGGCTCATGGATGGATCAGAGTCTAGAAGAGTACACAGTCTAATGGCAGAGGCAGTCAGTGAGAGCAGCTGAGAGGACACTAGTCCTTAGGTCACTCTGCCTGAGGCTCTTGCTTCCTTCCTCTTCTGTCTACTCTCCGGATGTGGTCCAAGCAGATGAGACATGAACAAAAGTTGCAAAGCATGCAACTTCTGGATTATGTCCTTGAAGACATCTGCCTTAGACACTAGTATGCCCTTGTTTGGCTGACTGGAAAGTGGCAGTAGCTGAATTCTTGACAAACCACAGCCCAGGAATGGCTGAGACACCTCTGAACTTGGGACTAATGTGAGGCAGACATGCTCTTCTGCAAACCACTGGGCTGTTTATTACAGTGGCTTTCAGGCTACTGTAAGAAAGCCTTGCTGGGCATATATTCAATTCCCACCCAGTTCAGGAGCAGCCAGGTTCCTCTAGGATCTCACTTCTCTCCTTGGAAGTTGGTGGAGCTGGGTTGAGTTTGAGTTTTGTTGACATATTGAAGATATTAGGAATAGATCCTGCTCTCGACTTTACTGTTGCCACTAACTGGCTTCCTCCCATGTAGAGATTCCTGGAAGTGTTTTGTGCTGGCTGGTTCTATGTCAACCTGACACAAGGTAGCATCATTTTGGAAGAAGGAACCTCGACTGAGAAAATGCTCCAACCAGATTGGCCTGTGAGCAAGCCTATAGTGCATTTTCTTAATTAATCGTGAAGGAAGGCCCAAATCAGTATGGGTAGTGCTATCTGGGCAGGAGGTCCTGGTTTGCATAAGAAAGCAGATTGAGCAAGCCATGGGGAACAAGCCAGTAAGCAGCACTTGCCCAAGGCCTCTGATCAACCTCTGCCTCCATGTTCTTGTCCTGTTTGAGTTCCTGCCCTGATTTCCTTGGATGCTGGACTACAAGCTGAAAGATGAAATGAACCCTTTCCTCCCCAAGTTGCTTTTGGCAGTGGTGCTTTATCACAGCAATAGAAACCCTAAGGAGGACATGCGTGTTCCTCCTTCCCTCCTGACCTGCCCCCAGCATAGAGCATACTTGAATCTTTGCCCAGGGCAGACCTCCAGCCTCACACCACATTCCCTGCACACCCAGCTTGCCCTAAGCAGGGGTCTGCAAGAAGCACGACAAGAAAGCAGACTTCCAGGAACGGAGCCCACAGTGCTCATCATCCTTGGTCTCTGCCCAGGCACGCAGATGGAGGGCGGTCCAATTTAATATTTAAACAAGAGGCTGCATGTCAATACAGCAGCCAGGGGAAATTAGTCCCCTAGCTCTGGGCTGCTGGGAAAGATTTCCCTGCTGGCCAGTGCCTGGCTAGCTAGCCTGGAAGATTCATTAGGTAATTGACAGCTTGCCTGGGCCTCTGTGGGTTGTCTTCCACAGCCCTGTTCAAAAACATCTGTAAACAGACTAGCCAGTGAGAAAGCATAGGGGCCTGGGAATCTGGTTTCATGTCCCCAGGACATGTTCCACACAAGGCACCCTCCCTTTCCCTTTTTCAGAATACCCAGCTGCACAGTGAATGTTATGACTTCTCCATAAAGAGGCAGCTCGAGGTTGCCAGGGTATCCACCCACTGTGGGGGTGGCTCAGGACAGGGGAAATGTTGCAGGATATCTGAAATCAGGCCCGAGCAGAGGGTGAGGGACCCTGCAGGGAGGTGTGAGTGGGAGGGTGGGTAGGGTTGTCCAGGGTTCTGTCTGTGGGTGCAATGAAGTGATAGGGTGTCCAGCTCCCAGGTCACACAAGCTCTGCCAGCCTGCCCCCATCTCTCTATCTCCAAACTCAGAAGGGTCTAGGCTGAACCTCCATTCCCCAATGTGGAAGGTGGGGTATGATACAAAAGGATTTGGGGGCATACAGTGTGTGACAGTCACATCCATGCTGGGAGGTGGCATCACTCAGCTGCTCTTTGCAAAAGAGGAAAAAGCCACACTTGGCCACAACTCAGAGGTTGGAGGCTGGCAAAGGGGTGAGCTCGTTAGCTGGACATTAGCAAGCCTTTTCCCAGCCCAGGAAGTACATGAACAAGGCTTGTGATGGTGGATGCTGGGATCCCCTCATTGAGCCTCAAAGCCTCTCAGTCTCGGAATGAGTCAGCTCCTGGCATCCAGGCCCTACCTCCCCATTCCCCATCTAATCTCCAGGGTATGATGCTATTTTGGAGTGCTATATCTTGGTTGGCAGTTTATGGCAGCTGGATTAAGAGGCTCAGTGTGGAGTGGCTGGTCGAGACACAGGCTGCTGAATGAAGGGAGGTAGAGGATATAGACAAATCTCTGCTCAGTGCTCCCCATTCCCAGAGCATCTTTCAGTTCCCTGTTCTTGGACACGGCCCAGCTAAGCATGACTCAAGGGAGGTCTGGGGCCAAGGCTGCCTCCTAGATCCATCTGGAAGGCCAGCCCGCAGGCCCTCAGAGAAGGCTGCAGCTGTGTGTCAAGAAGTCATGTGGCCAAGTCTCAGATTGATGTGGTAGACCATGGTTGGCCCCTTCTGGGACCTCAGCTTTGCAGGGAATATGAACATTGGGAGGCCCACACCTGGCTACATGGGATTCTGAGTCCAAGCATGGGAATGACTCTGAGATGCATTTGGCAAGTTCTCGTTTTCAAGACCTTTGTTGAACTAAACTGGGACACTCTGGGTGCTGTGTAGCAGGAGACTCAGTCCCAGGCTTCCTAAGAGGCAGTATGCATTTGGGCAGCAATGAGTTGGTAGTGAAGATGTTTGGAGAGGTACGACAGGCAGCATTTGCAGGAGCATAGTGGGTATCAAGATGCTGCTATGAGAGTGGAAAGGAGCCAAGAATAAGAGTTTAGTATGAAGGAGGTGGGCCCAAGCTAAAGAGGGCCTTGAGTGCTGAGCCTAAGTGTTAGGCTTTGTTTTGAAGGCTACGGGGTGCAGTGGATGAGCGTATGGGGAGGAAGTGATGTCTTTCATTTCTGTGTGCTACCATGTTATGGTCTCACTGTAAGATGATCATGAGGCTAAACAACCCCCAACCCTAACACTTGTGCTAACATGTACAGTTACATATAGTGTTTGTATTGCTAAAGCCTGTAATTCTAAAACAGAAAGAAATTTAAAAAGATTGGTGAATCTGGGCCTACAATCCTATCTCTGGGGAGATGGAAACAGGAATTGCAGTAAATTCCACAGCAGCCAGCCATGAAGTAGAGATTTTTGTTGTTGTTGTTATCGTGTGTGTGCATGTGAACTAGAGGAGATCCCCTGCACCTGGAGTTCCAGGTGGTTGTGAACTGCCCAAATAGGGTGCTTGGAACTAAATTCAGGTCCTCTGGGAGAGGAGAGCAGCAAGGGCTTTTAACAGATGAGCCATCTCTCCAGCTCCCACCATTGAGATCTCTTCAAATGATATTGTGATTGATTGGAGAAGTAACTGGCTTATAATTCATTGCCTTCATCAAAAACCTCACCTGTTCTTGAATACCTTTGGAGCCTGGCAGCTCAGCCCCTTACTGAGCCATCCAAGTCTGTACAAAGGCAAAGCCCAGAGGCTGATATGTCACCTGTTTGCTAAAGAGAAGCCCAGGGCTCCAGGCAGCCTCCTGACCTCCCACCATCCATGGGAATGCCCAGCCAAAGAGTCAATTGTTACCGCATAGATGTTCCTGTGAGGTGAGACCACAGGCTCCTCTCATGTCATATCAGCCAGTCACCCAGTTCTGAGCCCAGCTTCTCCAAGGGAGTTTTGTAACCCATGAAATGACCATTCTCCAGCCCCTTTCCCATCTATAGGACAGTGTGTGTGTGTGTGTGCGCGCGCGCACACACACGCTCAAGTCTGTGTTCACAAATGTGCTATGTGACCATGGGGTATTAGATGTTGGTAAGCCACTTTTATTAGAGTCTCCTGTCTACAACAGGGGTAGTATTTAAAACACTTTCCCCAACCAGGTGGTGGTGGTGCACGCCTTTAATCCCAGCACTTGGGAGGCAGAGGCAGGTGGATCTCTGTGAGTTCGAGGCCAGCCTGGTCTACAGAGCAAATTCCAGGACAAGCCTACACAAAGAAACCCTGTCTTAAAAATCTATAACCAACAAAACAAACAAACAAAAACCACTTTTCCCAAGAATTTTCACTTCCCCTGCACTCTGGAATGGGCTGTGGCAGATCTTCAGAGCAGTGCCTCAAGGGAGGAAAGATTCCCAGAGAGCTCTGCCCCTCCCCTTGGGCTCATGAAGCTGGGAGATCTCTACCCTTCTTAGCATTTCTACCCAGGCTTCTCTGAGCTCTGCTCCTGGCCCTGTCTATTTTTCCAGCTACCTCAGAACACTCTTCAGTGTTCCAGGCTTGCTGATCTAGCTCTAATTCTAGAATCACTTGCCACCAAGAACACTGGACAAAATGTGTCTACCAGTCCCACTCTGGCCTGGTGGGGCAGGTGTATAGAGGTGACACATATTCCCCAGGCCAGCCTTGGTCTCCTCTAAAGTCAGTATCAACAACTTAGAGCCCTTTCCCTCCTGCTCATCTTGCCTCCCTTGGGAAAGGTAGTAACAGTACTGATATACTATGGAGGCAGCCCGAGGGCTCTCACAAGTACATCTTCATGGCTTTGTGTGTGGTGGGGCAGTAGCGGGCATGTAGCTGGGCCAGCAGAGCCCTGGACGTGGAATCTAGATGTGTACCCTGACTTTTCTTGTTCCACACATGAACAGCATAGGTGGCATTGAACAGCCGTGCCAGCTCCTCAGGGCTGATGTCTTCAAAGTATTTCTTCCAGTTCTGCCAGGGGATGGGGTAGAAGGCCTCAGGCGGCAGAGCAGTGACTCCACGGCAAGTGTGGCTCTCCTCCAGGCTTCGGATGGAACACCACTTCTTGAAGACCCGGGTGAGCAGTTGGGGGCCCTGGTGACCCCAAATCCAACCATTGTAGTGGTCCACAAAGTCCTGTATGCACAGTGCCAAGAAGTCATGATGGCGCTCAAAGGCCAGGAAGGCTCCATTGAGGACATATCGGGATTGGACACCCAGCGTATTGGTCAGGTTCCTCAGGTTCTTGAGGACGATAAAGTCTGTGTCCAGGTAGATGCCACCAAACTTCCAGAGAAGTGCGATCCTGGAGGCATCAGACAGTACAGGCAGCAGATAGGGCTCCCAGCTGTGCTGCACCTTCAAGTACCAGGCTGCCAATGGCGTGTCCTGAAACAGCTCCTTCAGGTCCAGAGGTCGTATCTGGACATTGTGGAAGCATCTCAGGAGAGAGATGCCAAAGTTCTGAGGCAGGCCTGTTTTGTATCTATGCAGCCCTTTCATGAGCACCACCACCTGGGACTCGGGGTGTGCCCTGGCAGCCGACTCCACGGAACACATAAACAGAAAGCTAGGTTTGGTCCTGTCTGAGGTCTCTAGGAAGAAGATATTGTCTGGGGCAAAGATGCTAGGGAAGGACAGCTGGGGGCAGGAGATGTCCACTGGCAGGCTATTCTGTCGTCCTTGGTCCTTAGGTGCACCCACAGTGTGCCAGTAGATCATGATGGAGACAATGAATGTGAACTTGAAGCTGATAATGAAGAGGGTGAAGACCCGCTGTCTGGGGGTGCCCCTGAGCATCCTCAGCAGGCAGTTGGGGGACTTGAACATGGTCTCCCCCAGATCACAGCAGGTGCCCACAAGGATTGACTGGTCTGTAAGAAATGAGCACCAGCATTCAGGTTGGCTGGCTACAGGGACCCCTGACCCTCAAGAAACACGCTTCCTACCAACACGAGGGAACTGACAGCTTCCAAAGTTGGGGGTCTCTGGGCCCCAAGAGGCATGAGCTATGCCTGTACAGGCTGCTCACCTATAAAACAGAACTGGACTGGAGCCTGGGCAAGGTCCTTTTTGCCTTGTATAGTAAAGTTGTGAATGCCCGAGGATCAGAACCAGTGTCTCTCACAGTGTGCAGCCAGAATCTAGCAGATACAAGGACAGTCAGAAGTAACCACTTTGCCACTAACCTGAAAAAATCTGTCTCTCTTAGCCTACTGGGGTGGTGGCCTGTCCCTTGACCCCTCAGTTCCATGAATAGGACTTGGCTCACTCAAAGACATGCTACTCAATATCTAAAATTTGGCATGAAGACCTGGGCTCAGGTGCAGAGATGACTCAGTGGGTTAAATGCAAAAGCAAGAGGGCCTAGGTTGAAATCATAAGAACTCATGGAAGACAAGAACAGCATGACACACACATAACTCCAGTGCTGGGGAGGGACGCACAGAGTGATACTTGGGGCAAGTGGTCTTTTATCTGAGGATTTATTTATTGTATATTATTTATTTCATTGCATGGGTGTTTTTCTTGTGTGTGTATATCTGGGTACCATATGCACAAATTGCCCTCAGATACCAGAGGAGGGCACTGGATCTCCAGGGACTGGAAATGAGAGGTTGTGAGCTAGTATCATGTGGGTGCTGGGAATTGAAACTGAGTCTTCTGGAAGAGAGCCAGCTTTTTAGCCTCAATTTATTTTATTTTGAATTATTGTGTGTTGGGGGTGCATACTGTATACAAGTGTAGATGCCTGCAGAGAGCAAGAGTGTGTTGGATAAGCCATCCAATATGAGTGCCAGGGACCAAACTCAGGTCTTCTATAAGAGCAGCAAGAACTCTAAACTGCTCAGCCATCTTTCCATCCCATTGAGACTTTTGTTTGAGAGGGGTTCTAGAGACAGAGTTTCTTTGTGTATCCCTGGCTGTACTGGAACTAGCTCTGTAGACCAGGTTGGCCTCAAACTCACAGAGATCCTCCTGCCTCTGCCTCCCAAGTGCTGGGATTAAAAATGAGTACCCCCACTGTCCTTTTTTTAATTTTAAATTTTAATTTAAGTTTTTAAAGAGAGGGTCTCACTGTATAGCCATGGCTGCCTTAGAACTAACTCAGAGATCTGCCTGCCTTTGCCTCCCAGGCACTGGGATTAAAAGTGTGTGCTACTATACCTGGCAGATTTTTTATTTTAAGTTGGTGAGGGTGGCCTTGAATTCACTACATAGACCAGGGTGGTTTCTGACAAGGTGATCCTCCTGCCTTAGCTTTCCAAGTGCTGGGATTGCAGCTATGCACCACTAAGCCCTACTACTTTAGACATTTGCTCCTCCAATAAATATTGACCATCTCACCAACATAGTGGCATTTCATACAATACAAACCTGTCAAACCTTTACAAGCACCTGAAAGGGTTAATTCTCACCTCTGCCTTAAGGATAGGGAAGTGGACCAGCTATATCCCTCATGCTGTCCCCAGGCAGAAACTGGCATGTTGTGTATGGGAACAATGGGCGGGTGGGGATGGGGTCTGTGTTCTTCCATTAACTCTTCCTGGAGAGAACTGGTCTGGGGAAGGAGTGGCCAGGATGGTACCTGGTTCCCTGGAGGAACTCAGTCCTATAACCAGAAGACTAACAGCAGCCCTGGCCCTAGGTCACACCATATCTATTTTATCTTCCAGGTTGCATTCATACCCATCAAGCCCTTGGCCACTCCAGGGGACAGTTGCATCATTTTTACATTAGGAACACGGAAACTTGTATGGACAGAGGCCAAATGACTAGACTAGACACAGCCAGGTAGGTGCTACGGGAACCTGAGAGTTCAGTCCCTTCCAGGACTCTTGGAATAGCCATCCCACAGGGAAGAGCTGGGGTTTGAGCCACCTGGATGGATTACTTCTGGGTTAAAGGGCTACTGACCAGCCTGGGCAGCCCATGGCGAGAAAGTGGAGTCCTAGCTGCCTTCAGGCATCCTGGATACTGGGTTAGGAGCCCATCTTCTATGCCAACAGGAACATGCTGTGTAGTCTCATGCTCAGGTCTGCCAGCCCACCTGCAAAAGAGAGAAAGCAGAAAGTATGAGAAAGCTGTAGACCATCAGCAGCCCATTACTTTGGCTTTCAGAGTACAGCGCTGTGGGAGGACCATCTGGAGACAGAGGGACAATACAATCAATTAGAACTCCCTGGGTGAAATGGCACTTGGGCTGGGCACCAGGGAGAGATAGGAAGGGTTGATCAAATGGAGGAGGTGTTGGCCAGCTGGAACTCTGCGCCTTCATTAGCTACAAGCTGCAAGGGGCTGTGGGAAGCACCTAGGAAACCAATCAGCTACTGCTCAGCAAATTAGAGTCAAAGGCTGAATCCCAGCACTAAAGAGGCAGAGACAGAAGGGTCACAAGTTCCGGGCCGGCCTGGGCTACACAGGGAGACCTTATCTCACAAGCCAAGAACAATAACAAGATAATATAAACTCAGAGCTGGAAAAAGTGACTGGGTTGCAAGGCACTTAAGTTCATTCACAAGTTTAAGGCCAGTTTGTGCAACATAGCCAGATGCTATTTAAACACAAACATCCAGGAGGTGGTGGGACACACTCTTAATCCCAGCATCCAAGAGGCAGAGGCAGGTGGATCTGAGTTCAATTCGAGGCCAGTCTGGTTACAGAGCGGTAAGTTCCAGGATAGCCGGGGCTACCTAGAGAAACCCTGTCTTGAAAAAACAAAACAAACCAAATCACCAAAAGCAAATAAACAAATGAGAAAATGTCTTCATCACTAAGGAGATGAAACAAGAGGCACAAGAGCATCCTTGGCTATGTAGAAAGTTCAAAGATAGCCTGGGCTACATGAGACCCTATCTATAACAACAATAAAAACCCAAGCCAGATCACATCCTAGCCTTGCACAGACCCTCGCAATGTGAGAGACTCAGGTCCCCAAGGCCCTGCATATGCCTTACACTCCTGACTTCACACCACTTTCCCCTTGGTCTCTTATCTAAACCTCTCAGAGTTCTGCCTCTCAGAACTCAAGGCGTTGCCTCGGGAACCAGGACACCTGCCACTCTCTCTGCATGGACAACTCTTTCCAACTCACCCTCAAGACTCAAACCCCTAAGACTCCAATGTTCTCTTCACTTCTACACTTCATTCTCCCTAGCACTTACCCCGATATACCGTGTTTATTTGTTTAAGTAATTTATTTAGAAATAGCCCAACACTCTCTGTCCACTGTTCCTCTGAAAAGGCAAACAGGTTTCTGTCTCTCCTCTCCTGTCCCTTCCTCTCCTCTCATCTCCTCTCCTCTCTTCTCCCTTCCCTTCCCTTCTCTCCCCTCTCTCCCTTCCCTTCCCCTTCTCCCCTCTCTCCCTTCCCCCAATAAACTTCCCATGTAGAAAAAGAAACAACTCAACAAGGACAGTGCTTTATTAAATGACTCATGTAGAACAGGCTAGTCTCCAATCTACTAGGTAGCCCAAAGATGACCCTGCCTCCTGCCTCCTGCCTCCTGCCTCACAGAGCTGGGATTATAGGTGAGCACCGCATCAGGTTTATGCCTTGCTAGGGATGGAGCCAAGGCCTTCATGCAAGCAAGGTAAACTCTACCCACTGAGCTTTATCACAGCCTTCTGTTTTGCTTTGTTTCTGAGCCAGGGTCTTAACTAGACCAGGCTAGCCTTGAACTCATGATCCCACTCCCAACCTCCCCTCCTGCTGGGATTAGAAGCACATAACACAACACTCAAGTACACACACACACACACACACACACACACACACACACACACACACACACACTGTAGACAGGCTGACCTTGAACTCACAGAGATCTGCCTGCCTCTACCTCTGAGTGCTGAGATTAAAAGTGTGTGTCACCACCACCAGACTGGAAAAGTATATTTTGGGTTTGTATTTGTTCAGCATCCAGAACCCTGTCCAGTTCTTGATAGGTACAGGCACCAAAGAGCAAGTGAATGAATCAGTGAGCTGGCACACTCACAGCTGGTGAGCTGCTTGGGACCCCACCAGGGTCATGCATGTGAGGAGCAGAGACAGACCCCAGAATAGCACCAGCTGTGTCCTCCTCCTTGGGGGAGTAAGGCTATTTTGGTCATAAGTAATTTTTTTGTGGTTTTGGTTTTTCAAGACAGGGTTTCTCTGTGTAGCCCTGACTGTCCTGAAGTCACTCTGTAGACCAGGCTGGCCTTGAACACAGATTCTCCTGCCTCTGCCTCCTGAGTGCTAAGATTCAAGGAATTGGTGGTCACCACCCTTTGACCATAAGCATTTTTAACCTAGTGGGAGACAGACAGACATCTATCTGAATGTGGATCATTAGACATCAGAAGAGTGAGTCTCTGAGTATTTGGGACCCCATGTCCTGGGATGCCCTGACTGTGCCATGGTACAGGGTAGAGAGCCCAGGCCTGAGGTGAAGTAGGGTGTGCCTGACCACAGTTGGAGGTGCTAGACTCAGGCCACACCATATTTGGTGACTGAGCTGAAGACCCAGGAATAGAAGTTATATCCCGGGCCAAGTTGGCCACAGCTCGATACCCATGTGACCTCAGTCTCAGATGCTCCCAATGCCCCTGGGTAGGCCTTGGGGCTGCACCCTAAGTCCTGGCCCTTGTCATAAGAGCTTGGCATGTCCCCACTGGCACCCCCTGTCCCCAGGCTTCCTTCCCTAGGACAGGATGCTATCTCCAGGTAGTGTGTTAAGTGCTGCTCTACGTACTTTCTATTGTCGGGGCTTTCCACCATTCACTGCAGGCAATGAGATGGAGCAGAGATACAGGCTGGCAGAGGCAGAGCTTGGCACCAGCTCTAAGCACTGTTTTCCAACCTGAGTGCTGCACCCTTAATGGCTGTACCTCCCATCTGTTTCCCTGGCTGAACATGAGCCAGGACAGTGTCGTGGGGATAGTCCGATACAGCCCACACTGAACTCCAGAGATTCCCACCCCTGGGCTGAGTACCAATAGAATGGCTCACAGAAAACCTGTGTTGAGCCAACAGAGGGTCAGACGTTCTGATGGTGACTCAGGCAGGCTTGCTATGTGTGGTGTCTCATCAGTTTCCCTTCCCAGTCCTCTGCAGACACAACTTGCCCCCTACCCAGGGATCCTCATAAATGCAAAGAAACACAAAAGGTTCTTGGTGACATGCCTGGGAGGACCAGGGACATGGACCCTGAGGAGCTGAGCTAGGGCTGTAGAGTGGAGACTGGGGAGGTCCTCGAAAAGTGGGATGGGGAGGGTGATCCCTTCAGCGCCCAGGAGCAAGTCTGCTGGGATTTCCAGGCTACCAGACAAGTCAGGCTGGGTAGGGAGAACCCCCAACCTATGACATGTGACCCCAGGAGTCTAAAGACAAAGCCCCAGGTTAGCTGGAGGCTCTAAGCCTTGCAGAGCCTTCATCTGTCCCCCTCTCCCTCTCTCTCTTTCTCCCTTTTCTGAGACAGGGTTTCTCTGCAGAGCTTTGCTGTCCTAGAACTTGTTCTATAGACCAGGCTTAAAACAAAACCCATCTGGCCTTGGAGAGCACAATGTATGCCTAGGCTGGAAAGGCAGGCCTCCACGGCCACAGTGTCAGGTGTTTTTTGTTTTTTGAAATCTGGCATCTGTGAAAGGCCTGGAAAAGAAAGGACATTGGCATTAGGTCCCTAAGGCTGAGGTACTATTTAACATATCAAAGTGGACTAGGCTGCCCAGTTCTCCCAGAATCCCTGAGTCTCTGTCTATTACAGAGCCCTCCTGGCTGGCATACCTCACCCCTACCCCAAGCTTCTCCAGCCCAGGGCCTGGGTTGCCCTCTCCCCCACCTTCCCTATACAATCTGGCCATTTTGGTTAGCTACCCCTTTTTGGTCTACCCTTTACTTTCTTGGCCAGTCTCTTAGGCCAGGCTGCCCTATTGGTCAGGGGATTCTCTCCCCTCACAGTCCAGCTCAATCTGGCCATACCCACTCTGGACTCTCCCTGAGGTCCCTGCTATGCTCTCCCTTGTATCTACAATAAACCTTGTCCTCCGCTATACCTAAATGTCTGTCCTTCCTTATTTCTTCTTTTCATTCAAATGGGACAATCTCTAAGGTCATGGAGGACACAGTAGAACCTCTCCCTCTCATCTCCAAGTTCAGCAGTATGGCTACATGTAGCCAGGAAGCAGCCTTTGACCATGACTGGCCCTATTTTTTATTATCCCCCCCCTCAACTTTCATAATAGAGCACACAATCCCCATCCAGTGATCACACTTGTTTCTGGTGCAATCAAGTCAGGTTCCCTTCCTACTGCCTTCTCCCCTGCTTAGACAGGGACTAAGATGTCCCAGAGTTCCAGCCCACTTCAGTGCTTCTTTCCAGCAAGGCTGTGTACAGGACACATGCCACAGGACAAGTCACCTCCCTGAGCCATGGGTCCCTTGCAGTTCCCAGGGTCCAGGCAACTGTAGGAGACCTGGGCAGGGGCTCACCCAGGACAAGGGAAGAAGGCTTTAATTCCGCTGTGCTTCCTGGGCCATCAGGACACTACAAACGATGCTCCGGGGCTGGGCTGTGGAAGTATTTCAGTTGGCAGAGTGCTGGCTCAGTATCCATGAAATTCACGATTTCATCCCCAGCACCACACAAAACAGGCATGGTGACACATGCCTATAATTCTAGCATTTGGGAGTTAGAGGTAGAAAGATGAGAAACTCAGTGTTATCTTTGGCTGGCCTGAGATATGAGACCCTGTCTTAAAAAATAAAAACTAAATAAAGGAGGGAAGAAAGGAATGTGTCAGGCCCAAAGAATACTCCCCATTTCCTCCCCAAAGGGCAGACCCATTGTTACTGAATTGGTTCAAAATTGAGTCTAGGCGCACCTCAAGCTGGACTTTAGACAGTGGCTCTCAACCTTTGGGTTGCGATCCCTTTGGGAGTGGAACAACTCTTTCACAGATGTCTAAGACCATCCTGTCTATTGGATATTTACATTACAATTTATAATTGTAGCAAAGTTAGTTAT